CGAGGTCTTCAAAGAAGAGATGGGAATTGGAGGGGTTCTGGGCCTGCTCTGGTTTCAAAGGCGGTGAGGCAGCTTTTTGTGAAAGCTTCTGAATTCTTTGGCTTGCAGTTTTTCTTGTTTATTAATAGACTTCTAAGCATAGAAGTAACTCTAGGATTCCTTTGTGAATGTAGACTCATAGGAAATGCAATCTTTGTATCCCCTCCTGAGAGCATATCAGCATTTCAAGGCTTCATACAGTATGTTTTAGTCTTGGGATGAAGTTTTCCACAAAAAAAACTGGTGCATTGAGGAAATTTCTCTATTTTAGGCCTGTTTCACATTCTCTGACTACTTGCTTATTGTAATTGTCACCTCGACTCTGGAGAGATTGGGGAATTCACAAACACTTCCTAAGCAGCCTATAGGGAACCTTCTGAATGGCAGAGCCTTCATCTGCTCATGCTTCCATTAGAGAGACACTCTTGGCGCTAGCTGCAATCTCTGGCTCAGCAGAACAGGGTGAACAGAACTGTAGCAGAGCCTCACGGCTCCCCTCAAAGGGACCCACAGAGCTCACTGATCAGTCACTGAGTGTGTGCAGACTCAGCCTACCAAACCGGCCCTCAGCTCTGAGCTAAACAGCTCCTGTGGAAGCGGAATAAAAATTTTGATCTCCGAGAAGGACGTTTAGGATGCACTGATGCGTATTGTGACTGTACAGCTCCCTTTCTCTGTCCTACTTCTTCCAAGCGTATACCTAAAACAAAAGTCACTGTCCAGTATAACACCAAGTGTCTCGTTATTCAGTTTTCTTCACAGTAAATGACTGCAGTCTCTTCCTTGTGCAGGTTACCAAAGTATGCCTGCCAGTTCATTGAGATGTGTTTGATGGTAACAGCAGATCACGGGCCTGCTGTATCGGGAGCCCACAACACCATTGTCTGTGCAAGAGCTGGAAAAGATCTTGTCTCGAGTCTCACTTCAGGCCTTCTTACTATTGTAAGTACTTAATTTCCAGAAGATCTAGCTTTGCTATTCATTACTCTGTCCGGGTTTTACTACTATTAACTTAAGATTTAGATTATATCTGCAGAGTGATAGACAGGCTGTGTGTGTTCACTCACAGTTTGAATTTCTGTTTAATTAAACTCTTAAGCCCAGGGCATCGAGGTATTAAACCTAGTCCATTTTTCTGGCAAGCAAGACTATGCTGATGTGTCTTGTTTAAGTCTAGAAACATTTTGTAGAGGCCAAATTGGTGTCAGCATTGTCCCTATATGGTTGCCTAGTCTCTTCCAACACTGACAAGTGAAAATATGAATAAAATAGATTGCGTTTCCCCCCACATTCTGTCTCCAGTGGAAATGTGTTGGCTGCATATTATCATTTGTGTTGAGTTATAAACAGATGCTTTATCTCCAGTGCCTGCCTGACTTTAATTTCATGAATGCCACATCGATAGGAAGAGCAGATGGAGAGGATAATCCTGAGCTTGTTTTGTACCTTAACTGTGGAGTCCTTTACTATAATTCCCTTTGTGTATTGCACCCAGGGTGACCGGTTTGGTGGAGCACTGGATGCTGCAGCTAAAATGTTCAGCAAAGCCTTTGACAGTGGGATTATCCCTATGGAGTTTGTGAATAAGATGAAGAAAGAAGGGAAACTGATCATGGGCATTGGACACAGAGTCAAATCGGTAAGAGAAATGTGTTAGTACAAACTGGAGCTTTGGGTGTTTTTTTAGAGGGATGGGGAAGATAAACTACAAAGGAAAGAAAATTAGCAGCTTTCAGACGCAGCTATTAACCAAACTCTCAGGACTTGTAAATCCTAAACCTACAAAGTGAAGCTTACAGAAAGTACCTATGCAAGAGGCAATGTCAGTGACTGTGCTGTGTTCTTAACTTGCAGATAAATAACCCGGACATGAGAGTTCAGATTCTCAAAGACTATGTGAAGCAGCATTTCCCTGCCACCCCTCTGTTGGACTATGCACTTGAAGTAGAAAAAATTACAACTTCCAAGGTGAAATGCACTAGTATTTATCTCCTCTTGAGCACTTTTTCTTACTGGGGGACAAGTGACATGGGGTTAATACTGTATTTTAATTGCAGTGCTTCATAAATTGTTCCTGGGAATTTGTTTTTCTATGGTAGACTTTGGGCCAAGTACAACTACAATTTGGTAAGGCCGAGGACATTTGTTGGACACTGGGAAAACGCTGAACAAACCAAACCCCATTATCTGTGGTGTCCACAGTATATCTGGAACTGCTGTATTCTTTAAATCTGAGGCAGAGCTAGCGCACATGATGTGCTGTGGCAGATAATCTCTGTGGTTTGAACCAAATGCAGGCCCATTGTTTGGGGCTGTTTTTCCATCATTTGCATTAAGCATGGCTCTTGCTCACGTTGCTGAACAGCATTCTCTATCACTAGGCTTGTGTGCCCACAATTATGGGCAACCCTCAAATTACCCTTGAGCATGGAAGTTGCCAGGTGAATGTAATTTGTCGCTGTTAACATCTTTATTGGGGTGTGTTTTCATTTCCTGCAGAAACCAAATCTTATCTTGAATGTAGATGGCTTTATTGGAGTTGCCTTTGTTGACGTACTCAGGAATTGTGGCTCTTTCACACGGTAAGTAGGTAGTGGGCTCTTTCTCTTAGGTTGTGGTCCTGTAAAAATGATGGGACCCATATTGCCAGCTCATGTGGGGCCAGGATTTCAAAAAGACCTTGTGAAGGACATGTAGCCTGGACTTGGGGGGAAGGAAGCTTTCATATGAGTTTGGTGTTGCTACTGACACTAGAGCAGACTCATGGCCTGTCTAAGATTGGTTCCTTAAATAGATCACTGTGAGGAACTATTTAATTTCTTTTCTCTTGCAGGGAAGAAGCAGATGAATATATTGATATAGGAGCTCTTAATGGCATCTTTGTACTAGGCAGAAGTATGGGATTCATTGGTAAGTCTGCCATCTTTCTGCCCCTTCCTTCCTGGTAGGGGATGCCCTGCCTTCATGAACATGAGACACGTGAACCTCTGGGGACTGTCTAAAATGCTATTTGTAGGAATACAGACATTAAAGTTGTTTCAAGGCAAAGTAAGACTAGGAGCAGGAGCAGAAATTTTGTAACCTAAACTGCTTTTGTTTTAGGACACTATCTGGATCAGAAGAGATTGAAGCAAGGTCTGTACCGTCACCCGTGGGATGACATATCCTATGTTTTACCAGAGCACATGACTATGTGAGAACCTGCAGTATTGCCTCAGAATGTTACTTCATGGAGACGGAAGCCTGCACAGAGACAGCCACAAATGGGACTTTGATGTGTAAAGGCCATTGGTACATAGACATTGAGCTGCCTGGTCAAACTGTGCAAAGCAACTGTTTTATAAGAATAGAAACTTACTCTAATAAAAACCAAAACTTGTGATATTCCATATGTTACCTGCTGTATTTAATACTCTCTCACCCTTTTATTTTTTTTTCTACTCTTGTTTCATTTTGTTTCTAGAAAAGATTAAGGGTTCTGGGACGGGAGTTTTGTTCATAGGTGCAGTCTTACTGAGCTTGCAGAAGATCCATTTGTCTGGTAACAAGCTGTAACTTTTCCTGATAGAGGGGAGAGTACCCATTGTTCCCATAAGCCATGACTTGGGCTTTTTTTGTTGTTGGTTGTTTCAGTTTTAATGTGTTCTCATCTTCAGTCTGATTGTATCCTGAATAGTGGGACCACTGCTTATGTATAACCAATGTTACTCAAATGCTGATGTAGTAATTTAAAGTGTAAAGTTGTAACATACTGCTGTTAAAACTGTGAAACTACATGTATTCCAGTGTCTGTATTTATGCAAACAACTTCTCATTTACTATTGGATTGCTGGTATATGGAATGTCACTCATGTTTCCTGCACATGCAAAAATAATCTCAGTAATAACTTCAGTGTCCTACTTGTCTGTGTATTGTTATCTAAATCAAATAAATGATACACTACTAATTTTTTTTCCCACTTCTGGCTTCTAAGAGTTGTCCCCAAACTGTGTCTAATGGAATGTGTGACAAGCTGGGAAGCAGTTGTTGAACAAAATACTAAACCTCAGAGCAGTTATTCCACTCATGGTGTGTGTTCTGGTGGATTTGAGAGGGGAGAAAAAAAACCCTGCAAATTACAGATTTACCTATCATCTTCAATGTGTACTGAGATGAAATTTAGCAAATTGCAGAAGAAAAAGGAAAGCAATTATAGATTACTGATATAGCATTATACAAGAGCTAGGGATCTGTATAGTAAATGTTGAAAGAATCACTTCATTCTAGTTAACAACAAAAAAAGTGTACCTTAGTTGGAGTGAATGAATTCCTCATGTGAAGTCCCTTCCCTGCAGGCTTGCCTGAGACACTGATGTTAAGGAGAAAAAGAATCAAAAGGATAGCTCAAGGCTCTGAATAAAACTGTATCTATTTCTGGTCTGTGGTACCTCCGCAGTTTGGCGAAGCGATCCCATTCCCTTGCAGCTCACAGTCTGCCTTCGTGCTAAATCACAGGGACTGCTGCCAGGGGCTAAACCAACCCAGCTGTCGCCTCCCGCACAGGCCGGGCTTCAACCCCTGCGTGGGCCAGGCCCACCACTGCCCTCCTGATGGGCTTTTCGCCGTGGCCGGGCAGCGGGGAGCGGAAACCGGCTGCCCTGGCCCGCCTTTGGCCTGAGGCGGGCAGGCTGGGGCCGGGGGGGCTGGTGCCCCTGCCGCCGTGCTGGCCCAGACGCCCGCTCTGCTCACTGGGGAGCGAGGGGGGACACTCCCCTCCCTCACATCCCCGCTCCCCAGGTGCCGGCGGCCCGGCCCGAGGGGACGGGGCGGCCCAGGCGCCGCGCTTGTCCCAGCCGCCCCTCAGCGCCCCGGCCGCCATTTTGTCTGCGGCGGCGGCGCCATCTCCCCGCCAGGGGGCAGCGCGGCGCGCGGCACTCGCGCCTCAGCGCCCCGCGCGCAGGCGCACCAGCCGCAATCCGCCATGTCGGACAAGATGGCGGCGGCCGCGGCCTCCCCTCAGCCGCAGCCGGGGCCCGGCCCGCCGGCGGCGGAGGCGGAGGGCGGGGGCCCGCGCGGCGGCGGGGCGGATGGGGAGGCGGAGGCGGAGGAGTTCGGGTGCCCGGCGCACTGCTCCGACCTGGCCTGGCGGCAGAAGCAGCAGCGCCGCCACGGCCTCTACTGCGACATCACTCTGGCCTTCGGCGGGGGGCGGCCCGGGGCGGCCCGCGAGTACCGGGCGCACCGCTCCGTCCTGGCGGCCGCCACCGAGGACTTCACGCCGCTGCTCTCGGGGGGCTTCGCGGAGTCGCGCTCGGGCCGCGTGGAGCTGCAGAAGTGGAACTCGGAGGGCGGCCCCGACCCCGACACGGTGGAGGCCGTCATCGGCTTCATGTACACCGGCACCATCCGCGTCAGCCCCGGCAACGTCCACGAGGTGCTGGAGATGGCCGACAGGTGAGCGGGGCCCGGCCCCGGGGGGGTTGGCCGCGACCGCGCCGCCGGCAACCGGGCCGCAACATCACCCCTGTTCGTTTGTTCTGCAGGTTTCTGCTGACCCGGTTAAAAGAGTTCTGTGGAGAGTTTCTGAAGAAGAAACTCAACCTCTCCAACTGCGTGGCGGTGCACAGCTTAGCCCACATGTATTCCTTGAATCAGCTGGCCCTCAAAGCTCAGGATATGATCAGGAGAAACTTCCACAAAGTTATCCAAGATGAGGAGTTTTACACTTTGCCCTTTCACCTCATCAGAGGCTGGCTGTCAGACTCGGAGATCACAGTGGACTCTGAAGAAATCCTCTTTGAGACTGTTTTGAAGTGGGTTCAGAAAAAACCTGAGGAAAGAGAAAGGTACTTTGAAGATCTCTTTAAACTGCTTAGACTGTCTCAGATGAAACCCACTTACCTTACTCGCCATGTCAAATCAGAAAGGCTAGTATCGAGTAACGAAGCCTGTGTTAAATTAGTGTCTGAAGCCGTGGAGAGTCATGCCTTGCGGTCTGAGAACTTGCAGTCTGGTAATCTACAACATTCCACTTGTCCAGTAGCATCGTTGCCACGTTTTGGACAAAATATGGACGTCATTATGGTGATTGGTGGTGTGTCGGAGGGAGGAGATTACTTAAGTGAGTGCGTAGGGTATTTCATCGATGAAGATAGGTGGGTAAACTTACCGCACATACATAATCATCTTGATGGGCATGCTGTTGCTGTGACAGAATCTTATGTTTATGTGGCTGGCTCCATGGAACCAGGGTTTGCCAAGACTGTAGAAAGGTACAATCCAAACAGAAATATTTGGGAGCAAGTCTCAAATCTAATAACCAGAAAGCATTCTTTTGGCCTTACTGAAGTTAAAGGAAACTTGTACAGTATTGGTGGACATGGCAATTTCAGTCCTGGCTTTAAAGATGTAGCCATTTATAATCCTGAGCAAGACAAATGGCTTAACCTGGAGTCAGCACCAAAGATTCTTCGTGATGTCAAAGCTGTTTCTGTTGAAGACCGGTTTGTTTATGTTGCTGCTCGTACCCCAGTTGACAGTGATAGCGAAGATGGCTTGAGGGCGGTTATTATCAGATACGATGCTGAAACAAGGCAGTGGCAGGATGTGGAGTCTCTGCCGCTCATTGATAATTATTGCTCTTTTCAGATGTCTGTCGCTAACACAAACTTTTACCATACAGCATCGTGCTGCCCCAAGAGTTACCCTATAGATAATGAGGAAGCTAAGGTAAAGATCTCTGGCAGGGCGTCCGATGAAATCCTGGAAAGTTTACCCCCAGAGGTTCTTAGTATTGAAGGAGCAGCTATTTGTTATTATAAAGATGATGTTTTTATCATTGGGGGGTGGAAGAACAGTGATGATATTGACAAGCAATACAGGAAAGAGGCCTATCGTTACTGTGCTGAGAGAAAGCGCTGGATGCTTTTGCCTCCTATGCCTCAGCCTCGCTGCAGAGCAACAGCCTGCCATGTGAGAATTCCCTTCAGGTGCTTGCAGGGAACACAAAGATACCCTATGCCACAAAATTTGATGTGGCAAAAAGATAGAATAAGGCAAATGCAGGAAAGGCAGATGCAGGAAATGCACCGACACTCCCTGAGCTTACGGAGAATGCCACGGTCACAGATTGAGTGCTAATTTCTGGGATATCACTCCTCCTGAGGAATCTAGGAAATACTGTGCTAAACCATTTTGTTAGGCTTAATATGTCTTTATAAGACATGAGGGTGTTGATTGGATTTGGTGTGTAAAACCAGCATCTTTTATGTATTGAAAATTGAGAAGCTCAGAAATTGAGCGTGGATGGGAATTGAGAAGCTATGTGAATCCAACAATATTATTTAATGGTGCCCAGGGGAAAACTGTAGCCTGTAATGGGCTGTGAAGTATCTCCGGGAACATTTAAGTCTGTTACTTCTCTCTTCAGATCTTTGTTTTCAAGGATTTTTGTAGAGTTAGCCTCTAACAGTTATATTTTGAAAATCAAAGATCTCTATCTTAATAGTTTAGTGGTTACATTTGTGTGTGCTTGAAAGCACCTGTTTTATTTGCACTTATATATTGACATTCCTTTGATGCTCTACTTCTCAGTGACTAAACTTCACATATTTGGTGTTAGTGTACTTAGCTTTCCCAAGTTGGAGGCAAGTGCAATAGTTACAACTATATCTGAAAACAAAAGCACAATCTTTCTTTATAAAATTACTTCAGGATGTTTCTATGTGGATTAAATATTTTGTATCTGTATGGTCTAGAAAGGCTGCAGAGTTTATTTATAAATGGATGATCAGACACTCGCTAAAACAGAGATCTTGAGGCAGTAGATTTTTTTCAGGTATATCTGAAGATGCTTTGAGTTGTCTTTGACAGCTTCATGAGAAACTTGGGTCAACCATCAGCTTAATAAAAGGAGTGAAAACCAGCAAAGTAGCTACCCACCAACATTGACTGTTCATTTCTATCAATGTGGGTTAGTAAAAATGAGATTCTTTCACAGTAATAGATTGAAACATGAGCTACTTGAAGATCCTTTCTCAAATGTTGTGTTTTAATTCTAAGGAAAAAGTGAGAAGATGAGAACCCCTGCGAGCCTGTTTCCAGCCTGTCTTTGACAATCACTACCCTCTGCCTTCAGTATTCTTTCCCGAGAAACTTACAGTAGCTGTGCTGCAGTGCTCCTTAACAAACAGGCATTTGGTGTTTCTCTTGAAGTGAAGTGGTTGAGTTTTCATAGTCTCTGAATACTTTGATTTCCCCACTTACTGCAGCAGTAAGACTGAAGCTGATTTAAATACTTTTTGGCGTTTTGAGGTAGTTTTACGTAAATCAGTGCCCTGGTTGGCTCTGGTTTGCTTACTGCTATACTCCCAAGTAACAGAATGTGGAATATTTCTTTTGGAGGATTGCTGCCTCTTAGTTAACTGTAGCTTGAACACTCCTCCTCCCTGAGCTGAAGAGCTCCAGGTCGGTTTAAGTCACTAGTGGATTCAGTGCATCCTTCCTACCTCCTTTTCTTCCCCATCCTTCCCTTCATTGGAATGTTTCAGGTTTTCTATGTGCAACCTAACTCAGGATCACAGGGAAGGGAAAGGGAGGAGCAACTAGGGTGTTCCAAAATTGGTGTGTACAAACATCGTTGGAGAATCTGTTGACTGTCTTTGGCTCATATGATGATTTGCTGGTGGTTTTGATGTGGGCAACTTTTTTGCAAAAAAACTTCTAAACAGTTTGGTTTTGTTTTGTTTTTTCAATTGTTTAGCTTACTGAGCTGATACTTCTCATTTTCCAATCCAGCAGGCAACCTAGATCATATCTGAAACACTGGGTAAGTCTTTCAACCACACAGTGTGTAAAGGTTTCTCTGATGTGTACATCGCTTAACACTCCACTTTGCAGTTCACTTGCCACTTCTGATATCAGTAAGTTGTCTTTGTGTAATAGAGTAATCTAGCCATAATTAAAAACAAACACACACCTTGAAAATCTGACCAGTTTAGCCTCAATTTGCTCACCTATGGTAACCATGTTGTATTTTATTTGCCTGTTGGATTGTTAGGGCAGATTACATTGTAAGATGCTGGCCTCACGCAAGAGAGGAAATAGGTAAGCTTGTCCAGGGCTAAGGCTGATGTCCAGAAGGGACTGTTACCAAATCAGCTCCTGCAGGCATATCAGCAAGGGGTTAATCGGTGGAGTTTGGCCAATGAACTCTTGCAGATTTGGCTGGAGTAGTTTAAGAATTACTGCCCTTACAGCAGGGTTTGTGAATGGAAGTGTGAAAATGCCTCACAGCTTTAGTACTAAATCCGTTGACATAACGTACATTTGTGGGAGCTTTGCACAGAAGCAACTGAGAGGGGTTTATGTGCTCCATCCCCCTGACTTTCCTGTAGGGATTTAACAGGCACTGTCAAAGTCCTCTTGTAGTCTGTCAACAAACACGGGCCATTTGTAGGGAGAAATACCAAGATTATTATTTCAGTTGGAATATGAACAAAATAGTTTGATGTGTGGCAACATGCAACAAAGTTAGATGCAAAAACAAACTTCTTGCAGTCTGTCTTTTTGAAGCAAAATTTATATTTACCATGAGAACTTTTGGCTGACATAGAAGCTGTATAATTTACTGAAAACATTCCACTCGCAGACAGTGTCAAAACAGCTTAGCGTGTAGAGAACATAACCTGTGAATGCCAGCCATGATCCTGTATGTGATGCACGCTGTCTCTGTGCGCGCTGTTTGCATGGTGAGTGATGGGCACTGTGAACAGCACTGGTTTGCTCTAACATTTGCTATGCCAGTTCTGTGGAATTTTTAAGTAGTTGGGGTTATTTTAGCCTTGACTTGAAGTGGACCAATTGCATTGCACACGGTTTTTAACTGACAACTCTTAACTATCCATTGTGTCACCTGTAGGTGTGTGGAAGGATTGCATTATTGACTCTGGCTGTAATTTAGCCCATGAACCTGTGAATCGCATACCAAATCCCTTGTCACCCTTGACTGCCGTAGCTTGCTGGGTGTTTACAAAGTGATGCTATAAACAAAAGCCTGGGAATTCTTTCAGTGTGTTTCTAGTGGCTTGTTAAATGTCGGTAAGGTCCTCGTGTGTATTCAGTTAAGTATTAGAAGGCTGACTTCTGGCCTTCCTCATGTAAAAGAACATCAGGTGCAGTTTCTCCTCCTCCTGATGACAATCATACCTCTATACCGGTACTGAATGCGTGCCACAAAATGCATGTTTCATGCCCTGTGTTTCTGCTCAGTGTATTGGTGCAGTAGGACACATCCTGCCTAGCACTCGGCAGTCATTGTAGTAATTTCTAGGTGCCATATGTGGACATAGTATTTTATAGCTACCTGAATACTCTGTTGGTATGCTGGGTTTGTTTGTCTTTTTAAGAAGACTTTCTCTTGCACAAGTAGGATACCACTCCAGAAATGAAGAAAACAAGCCATCTTTTTAGCATGCATTAAGAATAACTCTGTCAAGCATTCTGCTGTACCAGTTCAATGTAATTTTTCTCCGTTACGGTAAATATTAAATCAGAACTGTTGGCTCAGCGGTCTGTCTCAGAACAGACTGATGGCGAATGACAAACTGAGTCACAAAAAATTGCAACTTTTAAGGTTCTTTTAAAAAGAACCTTGTAACAGTATGTTGTAACATTCAGTGGGCTTAAACAAGCAAGCTTAAAGTAAGTGTTTGTGGCTTAGATTTCTTTTTGGCTATGTCCACATTATGTTGGGGTATAAATCCTCTCTCAAATTTGACAGCCCTGGGCTGAAGTCTGATCAAACAGGTGCTCCTGGGGATCTAGTCGTATTTCTAATATGAATGCAAACAGTGGAACTAACGAGATCTTTGAAGACCATTAGAGTCAGATACTCCTCACAGGTCCCTGTTGCTGTGGGTGATGGCAGCTGGACACTCCTGTTGCTACTAGTGTAGACTTCAGCACATTGCTTGGGGAAGCAGCACTCCCGGTCTTACTTCCAGTAAGGTCAAGTACTACATGGGTAGAGGCCGTTGGAGACAAATCCTACTGTAATGTTCTTTACCTTCAATACACTGTACTAAAGTTTACGGTATAAGTGAACGACTGAAAATAAACCTTTTATTTCTCTAGCATTCTGTTGTACCTTTGATTTTTGAAGTTGCTCTGTAGGCTGTGGCCACTCTTGTGGTGCCAGAGAGTGCAAGTTTTCAGTACTAACGACTCTTTTGGTCTGTATGAATTGTTTTTCTGTTTGAATAAGGGACTGTGTTCCCTTGCTGCTCAAAAGGCTTTATTAGCTAAGCGGAGCTGTTTATACAGGCAGGCTACCTGTTGAAGAAATGACGCCGACTTCCCTCGAAGAGTTGTCCGCGTAGTAGTCTCGTCTGGCCACGTACTCCCTGACGTTGGGTAGAGCGGGCACCACACAGCAGCTCAGAGCGCTACGGTTTATGCCCATGTCCTGAACATCGTACCACTCATTAGTGTTTTCGTCGTAACACTCCACATGGAAAGTAGTAGTAAACCCGTTAAAGCCGCCAACCACAACCAGAAGATCGTCCACCACTTCAATGCCAAAGTTGCTGCGAGGACTGAACATGTTGGGGACTGTGCGCCACATGTTGGCAGCGGGGTTGTAAGCTTCCGCGCTGCGGAGGCGGTTGACTCCGTCAAATCCTCCGACCTGGGAATGCCAGAGGTACAGAGTTGAAACGGGCCATTCCTCACCCGCTGAGGCGGCC